TGTTTTTTGTTTGCTGTGGATGTGGGAACATTTAACTGTAAATAAGCAACTCAAGATACAGCCGAGGTAACCATCGAAGTGCACGCTCATGTGGGCTCCTGTCTGCAGGATTCGAACATAATTGCCAATAAGAAGAGATCTGCAATACAATTTGCAAATGTTATACAAACCAGAACGCCACGTCCTCTGAATGGCAGAAGTTGTGGATGTCAGAAATTAAATCGTTTTTCGGCAACAGAAGCTTATGTAGGCCCACATATTAATCTCTACTCCCCGCATGTTTTCCTGTGAAAACGGTGGTTATAGGGTTTTATGGGTGGGAAATTAGGACACGCAGCGGAATGTACTTTAATAAATACTACATGCACTTCTATTCTATTGTATTTAAAAGTGTTGTTGATTTATATCTGTAGATTTTCTTAATCTGTATTATCCTTTAATTTATTGCGGAAAAACCCGATTAGCAAATTGCAGGTTTCTTGAATTTCCCGAAAAATTAGAATGGCGGTTAGGTGGTCGTCTACTTCAACTTACCTGAGGTCCGATTTAAAGTTCTGGAGTTAGATTAGTATAGTCCGCGGCGCGAAGCGCCGCGCACACATTCAGTTTACATGCAGAACCACTCACTCTCAGCGGCGGCGGGAAGCAACTTCGAAATCAATTTTCACTTTACACTTCTAAAAATGTCCTTCTCTGCCTATCCTATTTCCCCATCCCCCAAAACTCTATAACCAACGTTTTCGCAGGGCAAAATGCTAGGACTATGGGTATATGAATGGGCCTACATAAGCTACTTTTGCCCGCTTTTCAACTTAGAAAAAACGGATCGAGTACGTATTTGATTAGGTCGAGGTTCTTTAAGTAAGCGCAAACTGATTAATATATATTGCGCATTTTGGGCGCAATAGTTGTCAACTTTGTCCTTGGTATTCATATCATGCAAGCATCTGCAGCATTTTCAGACTTGGCGTTTTTATCCGCATTTTTCAGATTGTATTGAAAATTACAAAGTAAGCCAAAGGAGATTTAGCAGTTCTCGTGCTAAATGAGATGCACAACATTATATTCGAAAATATTAAACAATGTGATGACGGGTATGGAACCAATTCATGTCT